TCAAAGATAGGAGGCAGCAAGATAGGAGAAAGAATTCGCTGCAATAGATGATGATAATGTGTGTACAGCCCCAATTATGGCAGACAAAGACAGTTTGGAGTTTGTTCAAAGCTAAAAAAATATCATTGATGCATATTCCGACGACGAAAATGAAATGAATAATGCACCTCCTGTTCCCACGTCATCCGAAATGAGGAACATCATGAAAAATATACGCAGTTATTTAGACGCACATTACAGTGTTGAAATGAATGACAAAATGGACTACATATAACAATTTGTTGACAGTGAGGATCCGCTAGGAACGGCCCTATAAGAAGGGACGAGATTCAAGTTACAGGAAACTAGAAATAAAGATATCTTATTAGATACTGTAATCTTGTATTACTGTGTATTCTTATTAGAATGCAGGTTTCTCTTAAAGAAATAATATTGTGACAGTTATCTGCAATATCCCTGACTACACTGCATTTGTTATGTTCTTCAGAAATTACATTATTTGCCTATTTTTCCTCTCTCGATTTTCAAGGGATAAAATTAGTAAAAAAAAAATAAAAAAAAAAAAAAAAAAAAAGGAAAGTACAAGAGGAAATACGGTAATTAAATGGCACTAACATGAATATTTCTTATGGAATTGGGCATTCAATAATTAAACCCGTCTACCTTTATTATTACCCACTACAAGTTACAGCAAATAACGGAAAACACGCTATTACATGTTGCAAACAAAATTGGACAAATTAGGAACGACAAATTATTTTAATACTGCTTCTCATGTTCCGGTTTACATGTGTTGAACACAGTTATATATAATGCTAGAGAGCTATTAACCGATTACAGATGAATTTCAAACTTAAATAACTTTTGTACAGCTAATTTCAACAAGTAATTGAGTCGTAATGACAGAGGTAATATAAAAACTATGTACAAACTAAACAGATATGTGATAATCCTGCCCCTTATTGGTCTTTTTCGGCAATTTGCATTTTGAGTCAATTAAGAGGAAATTACTCTTTTTAGTTACTTACTGTCACCATGGAGATATTTGTTTCCAATTTTGCAACTAATTTTCTCAAAGTTTTAATGAATTGAGAAAATTACCAACAAAATTGAAAACAAATATTGCTATGGTAACGATTTTTGTATATATTGTAATTTTTTGCATATTTTTGACTTCTACTAGTATACATAAAGTATTTCATTAACTTAGAGTTCCCTAAAAATGAAGAAAAATGAAGTTCATCGTCTTAATGGATAAAGCAATCTAAATTCATTTGTAAGTTTCCTAAATATCTAAATGATATTAGCATAAACATTCTCATACGATATACAAGTTTCACTTCAGTTATACAAGTTTCGCTTCAGTTATTTGAAAAGCTGTACAAATTGGCCAAAGCACATCAAAGTTTAAAAAAAAAAAAAAAAAAAAAAAAAAAAATAGAGCTTAAATTGATGCATGCCACTATGTTTTGATACTATTACTTTCAATTTATATGCATCTGAATTTTATGGTTTCAGTTATTTTAAGCTTCTGATTATAATTAAAATACCGTAAAGCAGATTAACGTTTGAGTAGCTTTTACTATGTAAAAGTAGAGATCTCTTTCAAGGTGCTTAAAATATAAATCGTCTCATAAGAGAGGGAGAAAAGTTTTTAAGCAAAGGATTCATCAGTAAATCATTTTCAGCCAAGAAGATGAGGTTATCGCCAATCTGGTCACCAAAGAGATGACCGCCAAAAGGCATGTCGACGGTTACTAATTACGGTCATCAAGCCAAAGCTCGGTCAGCGGACGAGGTCAATCGTCAAAACCGTTCCATAAATCATCAGAAAACCCCTTCGAACCGACAATGGTCGAAGTGACCCCTTTATTTCGCCGGGGGGCGGTTGTAGAGACTGATGGACTCATTCCGATTGTATTATTCCAAGGGGGTGGCCTAGGAGTTCTCTTCTCATGAATGGACCCACCAGCAGAGGTGATAATCACCACGCAGTCAGTTTCTTTGTCTCTTCCGTTTCCAGGGGATACTGGAGCCGGAGAAGGTCATTATTAATATTCGTGTCTTTCTTGTCAATCTCAGACCTTCTCTTCGAACTGCGGATACGAATGTTTGTTTTCATTTGACAGATTGAGTGACTGTTTCCTGTACACAGGTTGAAGGTACATTGCTAAATGGCAGGGTTCCTTGGCTATAATGACACGTTTCATAGTTTCTCATTTTGATTCGACTGTAGGCTGACTAGAGGTAAGGTTCTAGTAATGAATCTAGAATGAAAGAACGTTTTTTCCTTACTGATAGCACTGACAATGTAGGCCGGGTAAAGTGCAGAATTAGTGAACTTTTGTTGCACACAGAGATTTCATCATTGCCTTGAACTGAAAGCAAATGTACTAAATCAAATTCCGATTTGTAAAGGTGATGTGAAATGTTTAGTTATGAAACAAAACGAACTTCGTATAATATACCTTTTAATATATACTGCATAAAATCAGTTCTATTAATTTCATAATATAAAGAGTCTTTATATTATGAAATTAATAGAAGGGTTCGAAGGGGTTTTCCTTTGACGACAGTTTCATTTTAATTCATCCTCCTGTTGAAAAAAATATAAGAGAGAAATTTCTCGGATATATAAAACTGGATTTAAGGAACTCATAGTTTTCTTTCTTATCTGATTATCTATGGTTGTAAGTTTAAATTTTACATTAATTATCGAAAAAAAGATCAAAATATTGAAGAAAGAAATTCGAGACCGCTTTCGACAGGTAAACCTTTCTTTCTTTTACTGCAAGAAGTGAATACGGAATTGTCAAGATTTGAAAATGTCGAGAAAGGAGTACACGACGTCATTTCATAATTAGAACTTGAAACGCCATCTCTATTGATAAAAAAATAAACAGGCATTTTATTAAAAAATGCAGATTTTTATGGCTGAAAAGCAATTTACTTTAAATTCCAGATATTTACTACAGTAGATTAATTATAATGCAGTTGAAAATTCAATTCGTAGTCTCCGATAGCTTTCAGAATACTTTTGAAAAAAGAAATCTCAGTGTATGTATAATCAATAAATAGTTTATATTTATGAGATTTTTTCTTCTGAACATATGATGTAAGTTGTTATCAGTTTAAAATAACAGTTAAGTGCGAATACAATGAAAAACTGCAATCTATTAGATTATGATATTCCAGTCCATTAGAAGTTTAAAAATATGCAGAGAAATTTTATAATTTTACTTAAAGTAAAAACCATTTCTCCTCTACCTTTCCAAATGGAAAAGAACAGAATGTAAAGACCGCAATTCTTAATCCATCTATGTATGCCAATAAGAACTAAAACAATATGAAATTATATGACTTTGTGTAATCAAATGTATCAAATTTTAATTTTTGTTCAATTTTTTATCAACATATTTCAATGCTTGTTTTTTTCTTCAACCTTTGTACAGGTCTTTTCTTTTCTATTTTTCTTTTGTAATTAAATTTTCATATTCGTTTTTCATTTCACTCTACTTGGACTTTTCAGTTACAAAACTAATTTTTTTCAGCTCGGAATTGTTTTTAAATTTGATCTCTTTTTGCCTTATATTTACTCAGTTTCATTTTTGTTTTATAAAATAATATAAAATAAACTCTAAGGTAATTGTACCAGCAGCATATAATGATCTTAACTTAAACATTCTATACCTTGAATTTATAGCAATAAAAAGGGAAGAATTTCTGTTTCTAAGCTTTTTAAGATATCTATTTTTAACTCTTTTCATTGTGTAATGTTTACTGCTGGATCAATATCCAGAAGTGTCTGTTACTGCTACCTGCTGCTTCTTGTACTGTTATTATTACTGTTTGTTACAACAATGTCTGTTACTCTAATATAGTCTGTTACTTTAAAATAGAAACTTCAAGGTCATTTCATATCTTAACCACGGGTACAATAGCCGCAGCAGACGATTCGCATGGTCTAATTTCTTTTCCTCCACTCCAAGTCCGCTTAGCATGTTTCGGTTCTTGAAAACGCGTGAATAAAGGCTGACTTGAACTAGTCTGAAATGAAATGAAGAAAATGAGTCTTGTGCGGTAATGACGACGCAATTGCAATCGCAAATGAGAAGGTCTGGCAGTGGTCTTGAGATACCTGGGTTAAAGAAATAGAACAGTTCATTTTTTGCTGTAGTTATGTAATATTATTGATTTTATGCACGTTTCTTTCTTTCACTTACCCGTTCGATTTTGGCGTTTATTCTAATTATTGTTTTTAATTACCTTTTATCTAATTTTCATTACTTTGCCAAAATTTCTTAGACATTTTTGCTTCCTTGTACGAAGTAAAGGAAGTATTGTAATCTCGAAAAATTCCGGGTAACATATTTCAACGAAAATATCCATTTTGACCGCTATTGAATGCTATTTAGCGATCTTTTTGCTTGACATCTGTACGTAAGGACAGAATAAGGACTCATTTTCTCCAAACTAATTTTGCGTAGAAACTTTAATTTTAATTGTAAAAGTTGTTCTTTAAATTGTTTTAACTGTATTTATGTTTTATATTTTTTAATTTTTAATAAAACTTTTTTGAGGTTTTATGTATTTTTGACTTGTAGCGAAGTGAGAACTGAATTAATTGAATGAGAAATATACTCTAATGAAATTCGAGGTCATAAGTTTAAATGAAATGCGGGAAAAAATGCGTATAATTTAATATTACGTACAAGGACACATCAAATTTGTTTATTTTAATAACTGTACATTTTATGGATTTCTAGTTTTTAGGATTTAATTGCAGCACCAAACATGGGACGCTTGTACACAAGACATTTTCCTCTAAAATGTTCTTTTGAAAATTGTATTTGTCTTATACTTGCAAACTAATATATATATATAGAAAAAAAAAAAAAAAAAAAAAAAAAAAGAGAGAGAGAGAGAGAGAGAGAGAATATATTAATGTAATCATCATTTTCGCTTTTATTTTTAGGCTAAAAATTTTCCTTTTATCTCAAAATATGAAATTAAAATCATTTTTGTTTTCTTCCAGATCAGTTTCAACATATCAAGCTTGTATACTTACAGTTATCGCAGAGCAAAAGTAGTGGGATATATGGTGGTTAAGCAAAAGAGGGGTACTCATACAAGTCGGCCTGATTTTGAAATTTAGACAAGCCATGAACATTTCTACACTTTCGAATGGGGTCACTTAAAATCTGTCAATCACAGAAGTCCTCTCGATGATCTGGTAGTACTGGAAAAAGAGCATGCGACCTTAAAATTTCACTCCTCGAGTGCTCTTGGATTAAGGTGAGATAAAACGTAGGCAAATATGCACGATTTTTTTTAAATTAAATAATGCTTTTGTCAAATTCCTTTTTTCTTGTATAAAAAATGACAGTCTTCTTTTACGTGACGCCGGCTTAAAATGATTCTAGTACTACACTCTTTTTTTTTTTTTTTTTTTTTTTGAGCTAGTCAGAGAATAACGAAAATAAAGTTTAGTGTATATATTAGTGGATAAATTAATGTAAAAAGTAAATAAATATTGATAAAAATCATTCAACTGTAGGAACATTATTAAGTAAAAAGAAAGAAATCAGTTGAGTGCATCTACAATTGTTTCTCAACTGTTTAATTTTTTCTTTTTTTTTCTCCAAGTGGGTTCGCCTCGTTAACTAAATCCATTTTATCTCATGATTTACAGCTAAGTTAATATTAGTTAATGCTTTCTAGGTGGTCACTATGCGGTTTCTCCAAACTTTCTCACCTTTGAACACTTGACTGATTAATGAATTAAATTGTCGCAATTTCGTAACCCAATATTGGCAACAATGGTCGATTTCTTTCATTCCTTTTCGCAGAGATGATGAAGCAAAATGGTTAAAATAATAATAAAACAAAACAAATAGACGAGATTAGCCATCCAATCACCACGAAATAAAAACAAACCCACATATTCGAATCTGTTAGCGCGCGGGCACACCATGCAATATTCAATTATAGCCATCTTAATGACTGTTGTCTTGTCCATGGTTGCGAAGTAATAACATGATATTACAGTCCGCTAACTGGAACTCTTGTTAAACGCACATGCGAAAGGTAGCATTAAAACTTGAGAAGGGCTGGAATACGTCAGATCGGGTGTGGACTTATTGATGGTTAGGAAACGCCCAGGATTTATTATATTTTTATTACTTTTTCAGGCACACACATTCGCGATCTTTTTTTTTACTTATCATTATTATTATTTTTTTAAACTTACTTTTCCTTTCTCTTATTTCTCAAAGTGTTTGAGTGACTGATTATGCGCAGTGTGAAAATGCATCTTGCAAATGACGTAAAAGCATAATACTTGCACATTAAAAGGTGCTACTTTAAAGTCGGTTGAAGCTACATGCTGAAGGTTAGATTGCAGGTTTAAGTAATGATATCAAAATTGCTCAACGCCTTTTCTTTTTCTTTTTAGAATTAAAAGTAACAATTTTTATATGCTTTTGCGTTTATTAATGATGCTGATAAATCACTCACATCTGTTATCAGTCATGTACTCCCGAATTGAATACTTCAATCAGTGACTCTCGAATTCAAGTCTTCAGATTTTCATACAATTAATAAACAAAAACAGGACAAAGATTAAATGATTTTGTACTGGATGCGTACATAGCGTTAGGAATATTCTTTACGTATTATTCTTTGCAATACCGAATGCTGTTTTTCAATTTATATATATTTGTTATATTATTTAAAAAATAAAATGAAGATCTAAATTATTAAGAAATGAATTCACTGCTTTCAGTTGGTCAGTATTTTAAACAGTTACAACTCATTAATTTCGAGACATAAATTAAGCATGTTATGTTAGCATCCTGATAATTGATTAAGTTGAAACCGCATGAAAATAAATTAATGATCTTGCGTTTCACGTAGAAGTAATGCTACTCAAAGTAAATGGATAATATATTCCTTTTATACATTTACTTAATGCGTTCCGTAATGCAACGTAATTCAAAAGTTGTGTTTGCTAAGGAAATAACGAAAAATAGTTTTTCGTTAACGTAAATTACCTTTTATCTAAAATAACGTAAAATAGCTTTTTTAACGTGTTTTGCTTTTATTAAAAACATCCATTAAAAAATGTGAAATGTTAAAAAGAAAATAGAAATTAATGACATTTTAAATTATTAGCACTTAATACAGTTCTCAGATATTTAAATGTACACTTATTTTATAATATGATGAAATAGAAAAATAATTTTTTCCTTGCATTTATGCTGTAATTATATGCTATAATATGCAATTTTATAACACTATAAAAATTAAATGAAAAAAATCTTTGATTAAATACGCTACCAACAAGCTTGTTTTTACTATTCATATATATTAAACATTTAAAATCAAATACGTTTAGAACAAAATTACAATTATAGCATTATAGCTATATGCTCAGTTTAATTCTCTTCCATTAATAATATGTGTGCATGGATTTAATAGTCTTGTTTACACAGACACTCACATAAACACACAGTTCTTACATGGTGCTAATGTTGGGTCTCGGATAAAAAAAACGTGGCAAGTGCATAACGAACAGTGCTCTTAAATTAAAAAAAAAAAAAAAAAAAAAAAAAAAAAAAAAAAAAGACATATTTCATACAGGAATCTTAAACTATTGTTAGGTCGGGTAAAATATACTTTCGGAATAATAATGTATTGTAAAAATAATAATAACATTAGTAACAGCCTGCAAGTTTTCTAATTCAAATTAAAGGAAGTGAGTTCAAAAACAATCACCTTCTACCTATTTATCAATATTGTGGCATCACATTCAATATATCAGTTTGAACACTGAAGTATTCGAATAGTGATATTCTTATATTTGGCGCGGATGTACCGTATGCAAATGTTTCAAAAATAGCTTGTTTTAAAAAAGTCTATCTTTAAAGTCGGACTTGCCATGCATTAAAATGAGTATTATTTAATACACAGGCACTGATGTGCCGTAGACAAATGTTTCACAGTCTCTGTAAAAAGAATTCTATATATAAATATGTTTGCCACAAATGTGCTATTCATTAAAATGAGTTTCATTTAATGCACAGGTACTGATATTCTTCTTACGATTTTTTTTCCCTCAAACTCGTTTATGTTTATAAAATTCTATATTTGAATTCATTCAGTATAGCTATATCATTCATTAAAATGAATTTTATACAAAATCTATACTTCGAAGCAGATTCAAGTTAGTCCCAGTGTGTAATATATTTCGTAGTAAAGTCTTTTTTTTTTTTTTTTTTAGATGAGATTTACCTTCTTGTATATTGCTAAAGAAATTCTAGAAATTCAAGATAATACATTTAATTTAAACAAGAAAGTTCTACTTCATCTTAAAGCTTTTAATGCTGTAGCGTCTTTAAGTTAGTTTGAAGCAGGAGATGTGAAAAATGTGCAATGCCTCCGCAGGGACTCGAACCTGGATCCTCGAATACGCGTCTAGTGTGCTGCCTTTACACCACAAAGGCATGCGGAAAGGAGGGAGAAAATACCTTATAATGCTACTGAATGAAAAAGTAATTTATCACTGAATACCCTCATTAAATTTTCACTAATATTATTGAAGTTTGTAAACTGTTTTTGTAAAAAAATTAAAAAAATGCAGTAATTTATAAATAAAAAATTAATTTAATTTGAATTTAAATCTTTAATGTGAAACAGATCAGTATAAATATTTAATTTAGCATTTATGAGTGTATAATTATAAAACCTCATAAGCCACAGATGGTGCCCTCAGTGCTCCACCATCGAGTTGGCCTTACGACATTTGCTTTCACACCATGTTCAGCTGGAACCACGTAGAGTAAGGTTAATGCATGTAAATTTTAACAAATACGAGGAAACTGTATTGCCACTTAATCAAAGAGTTCCAGTATGTCCCCTGCAAGTTTTAGTACAGTTGAAATTGCATATTATTAAGATGCATGTAAGAAAAAATAAGACATCAAATTCAGTTCATTTGCGTAACACAGATAATAATTACAATTTTTTTTCATTAAAAATTGTCTTATCGATGCATCAGTAGAAATATTAAATAAAAGGTGACTTTAGTAATTATTTTAAGAATTGGCGTAACATTATTATGAGTATTTGGGACATGGTTACACAGACATATCGTATATTAAAAAAAAACTTAAGAATTTGGGTTTGATACCAGAAAACATGAGAATAATGATAAACATATTAAACAACGAATCAGCTTTTAGTGATGAAATATTTTAATTTTCTGTAATGCGCTGTCTTTTTTTTTTTTTTTTTTTTTTTTTTATGCTGTTTTCCTTTGATTCCTATTGGTTTATTTACATTAAAAATCAAATTTTCTTCAGAAGATGGGTCAAATTAAATCTAATATGCTTGTAATATCACAGCTATAAAAACTTCCTCACTATATATTACAGTTAAAGCAACAAGAACAAACATGTTCTTGATCCATTCTTTTGAAAACTGCTTTCTGAATGATGCAGAAATATAAGTTACGATTGACATTTTCGCTAAATGGTTTCCCAAAGCCGTTGGTACTAGGGATCAACTGATGCACTTCTTGCATAGGAAGATAAAAACGAAACTAATTATTTTGCTAAGTACATGAAGGGCTCAAAAAGATGTAACTCAATGCTCGACCATCGGGTTGGCCATACGACATTTGCTTTCACACCTTGTTCAGCTGGACCCATGCAGAGTAAGGTTAATCCATGCAAATTTTAGCAAATACGAGGAAAATATATTACCACTGAAGCTTGATTACTCTTGTTGGTTTTCTAACATGCAAAGTGTATAAGAAAACATGTGATATCGGCTATAGAATACTCGGGTTTGCAAAAGTCAATGCTTAAATGAAGGAAAGCTTCTGAGAATTTCCGGTTTTGACTTTCATTTGAAATTTTTGAACTATATTTTAGAATGCTAATTAAAAATATATGCCTACAGTTTTGGACATTTCCTTGCAGCCAATGATCAATATATCGAACGAAGATTATTTTGCTTAATTAATGAAGATCGAATCTTCTTATAATTTTTTCAAGGATTCTTGACAACATCTAACGTTTAAAATTCTTTATTTTGAAGCATATTTTATGTACAAATATTCCGAAAATTTTGGAAGATGATATTAAAGAAGAAGCACCTGTAAACGTCCTAGCAAAGCATACAGTGTTAGGAAAAATACCAAATCTTTTGATTAAAAGTAATTGTCGTATATATCCCATTGAGTTGATTTTTAAGGTGTCATTAATCTTCGTTAACATATAAGACATAACTAAAAGTACTTTTCCTTTTTTTTATATATATATATTCCATCATATTATCTCTTGTTGGAAACTCTGCATCGAACTTTAACCTGTTTTTTATGTTTACCAAACTATACGTGTTTGTAAAATACTTCTGTAGAGTTTCAGTTATATGTTCTTTGTTATGTTGAGTTGGAATTTGAAAGTAAATACCTTAATCTAATTCTAAAACACTGTTAGTTAATTGCCGTTAACTGCTTTCCATTAGAACTGATTTGATGGATAAAAAATCAGATAAATAAAATAACTGCGCTGCGGAACGAAAGCAGACAAATTTGATTTTAGTAAAAAAGATCTCGTCGCTAACTAAAGGCTCAATTACTCTAAATCGCCATGCATCAGCTCTCTTAATCCATTAAACCATTTAAAGGAAGCAAACAGGCTGCCAATCTGTCTGTCACTCGAAATTATCTGAGTTGTTTGAGCTGAATTTTTAAACTAAAATCGAAGTAGAAAAGATGTTCCGACATTGTATCCGAAAAGACCGGTAATAAAACAACAAGCCCGCGCAGGTAGTTTTCTTTTATTGTTTTGGCAACTTCCGCGAACAAGTTGAAGTCGATCGAAAACAAGAGAGTCTCGCGACGTCCCAAAAACAAAACGCGAAATCGCGTGACAACACAGTCGTGGATAAAAAAGACTACAAAAGCGGATAACCTTATGCAACGGCGATCGTCTTTATCCGCCCACTCGACCACGCCTATTGCCCCGCCTACATCTTGACAACTGTTGCCATGGTAACCTGCGAAGACATCAATGAAAGCCGCATTCTTTTAATTCCAGTCGCCATTTTGATTGGGATTTTTTTCCTCTCTGGAACTAGCAAAACAAGACTGAGTGATTTTTCTCAAACGCAAGAACAAGTAAAAAATACCTCAACACATCAGCACTTTAATATTGCTCTTAGCTTTCGATGATAATTTATTAAGTATTGCATTTAAAGAGTAAAATAATTTACAGTATTTACAGCGTTCGATGGAAAACCTAAGGGACAAAAAATCTGTGCATACATTCTTCACCCAGGGGGTGAATGAGGTAGGTACTTCATTCACCTCTGAGTGAAGAATATTCAGCAATGAATATTCAATTTTCTCAAAAATCCATTCAAAATATTACATTCTCATAATATTCCTTCTAACGCAATATTTAGTTTAGGTGAATTTACTCGAAAATAATGTTAAATTTCTTTATACAATTCACAATACATACATACATATATATTATGAGATTATTATTTAAATTAACTAGTTATTTTTAACTTCAGCCTTTACTAAAAGTTCACCATTCCGTTTCCTTGCAAGAAATATAAATTGAGTAAGACAGTATTTAAAATAAGGTTTTGGATTGTAAGACAGAGTGTGTTTCTCCCTCTCGAGGCCACATTACATAATTTCTGCCAGCTCTGTTTAATTTGCAATCTATTCATCTTTGCGTTATTTGCGCCGACATTTAAATTGGATACGCCGGTTAAAGTATTTGAGCCAGTTTGAATTTAATTGTGTAGTCTTTGATTACTATAGCCTACGTTTTAAATTTGAATATAGCTATTACTTTAGTTCTATGGCCACAGGTTAGCATAAGAAGGGCTTTCATGTTCAAAGTTCTTTTTTAATAATAAAATTAAAAAAAAAAAAAAAAAACTGAAAAAGGTTTCAGATTTTAAATTACGTCCAAAGGGGCGTTTTTTTAACGTTTTGTGTGTTACCTTTATTTATTAAATGTGTTCTTTGCACTTGAACCATAAAATTCAATTCAATAGTAATGTCAATTCAATAGCATATTCGTTGGAATTCAGTATTAGGTTAATCTGTCTATTTAGTGTGTAGCTTTAAGTGCAGTTAAAGATTTTGATATTGCGAGACTTTATTTATCTTTTTTTGTTTCTTGTAGTTTTAAATCCTGCTTAAAGTTTTAAACTGATTTGCCTAAAGAGGCTATTAATTTACACCCAATGCAATGAAATATCATTTGATTTTAAATTTGAGGTATTTATATAAATGCAAAGCAATAAAAATGAGCTGGAAATTATGTAAAATAACTGATAATGGTTTTTCTGTCTTGTTTTAAATGCTATATCGTTAATAATTTGCAGAAACATTATTTTTTGAAAGCAGAAGATGTGAAAAATGACCAACGCCCTCGCCGGAACTCGAACCACGGACCTCTCGAATACGCGTCGAGCGGGCTGACTATCACACCACGAAGGCATGCTAGGAAAGCGGGAGAAATAATTAAAGTGTTTTTTTTTTTTTTTTTTTTTCATTCATTTGGTTAATTGTTTAAGGAAAACTATGCCAGTTCGTAAGTGCTCAAGAGCGCAAAAACTTTTTTATTCCTTTTACGATATTTTCAACTAGTTCTTTTCGATATGTTTCAGAACTGAAAGTTAACAATCATAATTTATTTTTCAGTATATTTCTAAAATTCTGCAGCTAATTTTGGGAGTCTTCTAGCCGTTCATGTGAGGCAAGTACCTTTGCCCTGGCTGTAGGTAAGCAAATACAACTGAATACGGAAGACATGTCCGTTAGACTAAATTTTATAACCATCACATTATATTCTTTCTGGTTAAGAGCAGACATTTGAAGAAAAACGAATCATTTTATTCAAAAGGTGTAATTATTTTCAAATAGTGGAGAATGGTAAATGTATTAGTGGTATTCATTAAGCGTGAAATCCGAATTTGAGCAATTAATATTTAACATTACGCAATATTAAAAAAAGATAAAAATCCGAAAGCTGGGATTCTTACATATGCAGATTTAGATTAGCATCAGTTTAAACCAAACATTAGAAATATTTCTTCGCATTGTCTTCACTATTAAATGTATTCTCTTCATTTTTCATTTGAAGGATAACTTAAATAATATTCGATTACGAATTTATATAAATACCTCTGTTTATTTGTAATTTAATTTATGTACTTTTTATAGTACTGCGGTTTTATTAATTTATTAATCTATTTAGGATATTTCATCTATATTTTCGAGTGTTTCTTCTCAGTTTCATTTGTGGTTTAAAATATTTATTTCGTATATTATGCTGTGGATTATCTAACTTTGAATTGATCCATCCACCTTTGAGTTGAAAAGTTAACTCAGATGTGGACAGATATCCTTCTGCAGCATTAACGACATTTCTTGCCGATAGTCACCATTCCAGACCTTTCCGTTAAATGTAAGCCCTAAGAGTGATTTTCTAGAAGCTTTTAGTGGTTCTTACCTTCTACTGAGAGAAGTAACGCTTACTGAGGAGGCTGGAATGAGTTTAACTATTCAGTTCACAAGGCATGCGATTTTATTAAACCCCTGCTTGTACTTACTATTTTAGATTTTGGATAGCCAGAGATATTGCAATTACAGGAAAGCTACTTATTTCCTTGGGTATTAACAGCTATTTATCTTTCTTGTACGAGTTATAAATTATTTCAATAAGGGTTTAATTTCTTCTTATTCATTTGGTGCACTTATTGAGAAGATGTCTACGAATCCATATTGGACAACAATACTTCTGTGGTATGTGACATTAATTCAATTTGGACTTTGTATAAAATTTGTTTGTAATACCTATCTGATTTGAGATTTCCTGGATTTTCACTTTATTTGCAACGTTAACCTAATTTTTACTTTAGATAAAATTTCGAAACTGGAAATACTTCTTGCATTTCTGTATTGTTTGAAATTTTATACCTGTTTCATTTGATACACTTTTCCATTCTCAATTTATTTTTTAACTAAATTTTATTTGTTTTGTTTTTTCTTTTAGATTGGGGAATTTCTGTTAGAAAAAACAAAAAAACCGCAGAAAACGAAATACTGAGTGCAAGGTATTTAAGTATGTGCTTACTATTTAAAATTAGAAAATTACTAATTTATGCTAATTTTTTAATATACTTGTCACCGCTTTTAGTAACATCCTCCAAAATCCTTATCACATACAGAAAGGACAATACAGTTACTGTATAATAACTTTGCATATAGCAAAATACAAGAATCCTATCAATTTGAGTGCGAAAACTACACAAAGTTTTCAGAAGAAAGAAAAAAATAACGTAGATACTACTATATGAAAAAATGGTCATATGTGAGCAAGTTGTCTTGCGTTGACAGAAAATGTGAGAGAAGATCTAAAAGTAAAACACTCTTATTTGTTTTGCTAAAGACATACCCCCAATGAAACTGAACACCTCAAACCTATTTCAACATAAGAATCAAAAGTCTCCAAACTCTTCCTCTCTCCCCAATGTAACACCATTTTAAAGACATTTTGCTCTTGAAAATTTATTTTCTGGTGACAATAGCCACTTGTACATATTCGATTGGGCTTCATCGACCAAATCAAAATATTGACTCGAGATGAATCTTTATTAGGCACCAAATACATTGATGTCCCCCATCCGAATATATATATATATATATATATATTCAAAGAACTAATTAAATTAGGCAATTTTTTTGTATTTAAAAAGCCTAATATTGAAGCTAGAGCTACTAATAAAATAACAATTTATTTATTGGAACATTTTTTGGGGTTATCTCCTAGAAAAAGAAAATAATTAGGAAGCTTGGTAAAAAGTGAACTTAATGCTAACGTAGTAAAAAATTTTATTTAATAAAAAATTTAATAAATAAAAAAAATATTTTTAAATAAAATTTAGTATTGTCTATAGCTAGTAAAATTTTTTTTAATTAAAAATAAATTTAAGAAACAATGATGTAAAACGAAAATGTTAAGAAAAAATGAATGAATTATTGCTATTAACGGAAATTAACGGACCTTGCAATTACAGCAAACCAATTTCCGGCGAGTTAACAATAATTAGTGGAAGCGATATGTAGTTTCTTTGTCTTAATATGCAAGAACCAATTGTAAAATATTAAGCCAGGAAGATATTGAGCCAGCATCAACGAATTTATTGTTAAGGCTAGCTCTCAACTTAGTTTATTAATACTGCCTTTTTTAAGTGGAAAGATAAAATTCTTCAACAAACTAATACTCAAATTAATCAAGTAATATTTCACAGCAATTTAAATTGCTCTCACCTTCTTTCTAGTATTAAAGCTTGTAGAGACATTAGGATTTTTTGGAAGCAAGAGAGATGAAAAATGAGCACTCACCTTCACCGGGAATCGAACCACGGACCTCTGGAATACTGGCCCAGTGTGCAGACCATTACACCACGAAAACTTGCTAGAAAAAGGGAGAAATACTTTTAAGCTTTAAAAGTACGATCACTAAAAGTGATAAAGCAAATAATAACTTCAGGAGTATTTGAAAAATTGACAACAAAATATTATTAACATAGAATTATTCAAACGCTAATATTTATCAGCTTACTAATATAACAGAAACCTCACTATTCAACAAAATTAAAGCATTCCATAAAAGACTAAAAATTTCGTAGAACCCAGGTATAAGAGACTAAACTTTATACTTTATAACTTGCTAACCTTTATGCTCTTCCTAAGTTCCACAAAACACCGCTTAAATTCAGATTCATTGCGAAAGTCACTAATAATTAGAAGAAAATTATAGGCTAATTTTTTTTCACTGCAGCTTAAAATCTGTAATTTAACCTTTGCTACTTGTAACGCAGAACATAATTACTGCTGGATTATTAATAATTACATTCTGATTATTAAAACTATTCAGTCTATTAATATACAAAATATTAACTGCCATGACTTTAAAAATTTATGTACTTCATTAGAAGAAATCTATACTAGATTTCTTGATCTATCAGAACGTTTTCTTGCTATGCTCACTATACTTTTTGACTTAAATAAATAGAAGACCTGCCTTAATTGCACTATTTTTAATAATTTTATTAAATTTGAAAATCAACTTTTTAAGCAAGTCAAAGGCATACCGATGGGAGCTCATAATTCTTCTAGTCTGAGAAATCTGTTTTTATTTAAAAAGAATTTAAATTCCAAAAATCTTTAGAATAAGAGGATTTAAATTTCTACGCTACTACTTACAGACACATAGATGTAATTACGTTTAATAATTTTAACAAAATAGAAAATTCTCAGATTTATTGAAAGAGCCTAAAACTTAATAAAAATAATTCGCCACAAAAAGTCGTCGACTATCTAGATCTTCAAGCAATTAATTACACTCAGTTTCAACTTTTGACAAAACTTATTACTTTAATTTTACTACTAATAAATTATTTAATTTGACTTCTAACATTTTCCCCCAAAAGTGAATATTAGCACAATAATTGATCAAATACAATGCATTAAAATATTTATACAGATACACTAGATATTAAAAACAAAATTTTACTACCTAGTAAAATTCTTAAAAATAAGCAAGTACCAAATCAATTTAATTTTGTCTTAAACTCTTAAAAGGTTAAATACTTCATTCTAATCTTTTTACTGGTGAGGTTATGATAATATTTCTGTAAACCTGCTGGGAAAATTATGTTGGATGTCTGTCAGTTTAATTATTTGTACCTTTTATACCATTTTCTTAAATTTATTTTTAATTAAAATTTATTTTATTGACTATAGACAATATTAGTTTAGGAGTCAAACAACAAAAATCAGCGTTATATTTGCAAATTTTCACAGGATTAGTTTCGATGGTTTTACTGAATCACCATACTCAGATGGCAAAGCTTTTTGAGCTTTAGCAGCTGAGAATAATAGTTCTGAAAAACCATCGAAACTAGTCCTGTGAAAATTTTTAATTAAGCTAGAATGACATGCTCTAATACCCACAGTTTTTACATTGCATTTGATCAAGGTTTAATTCCTCAGCTTATGTAAATCATAAATTTAATCTTAATCATAACAAATGTCTAACTAATTATAATTTTCCTAGCTTTTGACTGGAATACTCTATTTCTAGTTCCTCTTAAAATTAAATAATTTAATTAAATAATGTTGTTTTCAAAATTTCACTCGTCTTGGGAAATCTCAGAAAGCATTCTATACCTGTTTTTAGAAAATAATAGCTAGAGCTTCAGTTTTATTATCTTCAGATATCTCTTTTAATGAAGATTTAATGCTTCTGGGAGTGATAAACCCTAACCGTAATTAGAATTCAATTAACTCAATCAATTAGAAACTGGCTTGATTAGTTATAGAATGAAATACTTGCCTAAACTTAGATTGATACATCGCCAAATATTTCAAGACCTTTCTAGGGTTACTGTAAAAAATCCTGACATCTCTTTCAAACGCCCATTCCATAGCCGTAAATGCTCATAAAACTCCAAATCGGTAAGCTTTTGTCCGCTATCCACGAAGAACAAATCTGTAAGCCGAGACTTTAAAATTTAACTATCCGCATTTATTTCCTAAATTGTCTTCTCACATGCAGGGATTACTTTTAAGACAACGAAGTAAACAAAGCTTTTAGAACTTGGTATTTAATAGCTCTTACTCTTGAGTATTTAACGCTTTATTTCACTGTTTAGGATTTTACGCTATTCAAGGTTCATGGGACTGTAGCGAATTTTTACTGTTGAGTAATTATTTGAACATAAAATTCAGTATTAGGAGTTAGGAGTGCATGTGAAATGATCCATTTTAGTAGTATTTTCCAGATTCATTTTTATGAGGACAGGATGCTGTACTGCTCCTCGAGCACTTTTTTTAGTACGATCCTGAGATTATGTCACTTCATGCTGTTATTCAAGTAGGTCATAAATGGATCATTTAAAGCCCAGAAATCACTAAACAGACATTACCGCTTTAGGGATATGAGACCAATTCATTCGAGTTAAAACCAAATAAAAAGGTTGCAGCAAATCGAAGATAGTGTATCATAATTTGTAAATTCACAAGGGAAAAAGTGACAATTTTTTTTTTCGTCTTAAACTATGCGCACAAATTAGCAAAACCTAGTGACTTTTTCTTACGGTTTGCTCTTATGCAGCTGCCGTCCAGACGGTAAAGTGGTTAGTGACTCTGACTGCCATTCCGGAGGGCTTAGGTTTGAATCCCGGAGAAGGCAAGAATGAAAAGGCAAGGAGAAGGCAAGGCTCCTGTGAAGGGATCTGTCCCCTTCACAGGAGGCCACGGGAGTCCACCTATTAGGTGCCATTAGAAAGAGGCCACCGATTTTGTCGTTGATAGTGGCCAACACCTATAAACGCCTAGAGCCCGCAGTTGGAGAGGGGACCTTTTATGCTGCAACAGCATCACCTTTTTATTTATAATGATTTAGTATACTTAATAAAATACATGGTCTTACGAATTGTTCACTGTAAAAATCTTGCAAGAGAATTTTAATCACCTTCTGTGAGGCGATTTAGTCATTTGATGCAAGTACATCAATGACAAAACTAAAGAAAACTATTAACTTAGATATTCCGAATTTATATAAGCGCGGTTTACTGATACTTTCAAATCAAGAAGAATTAATGCATTAAGCTAGGCTTAATCAAGTAGAAGAAATAAAAATGGTGTTACAGAGATACAGAGGTTTGTTTAAAGAATAATAACTGGACTCTGTACCTTAATTCCTTCGATTCTTAATTCAAGAACTTAAATTCGTTCAGGATTCTCGTATCTTTTGATTCATCTAACCTTGAACAAGAACAATAGTTTCAGTAACACCTCAGAAACATTATCAGTTATAGCTCAGAAAAGTTGTATTTTAGTAAAATACTCGTGGCTGACAATCCAGAAGTTTTCTCGGGTGTTCTCTAACGTCTGAGCAGATAAGACGGCTGAATACTAGTGATTCACCTGGAATTCAAATTTAAGAGAAGCTGGCTGCTTGGGCATTTTCGGGATTTTCCTCATAGAAGAAGGGAGGCTACATAATCCCTTTACCCATGCTAGCCATTTTCCTAAATCAAATTGATTAGTTTTATAACATGAATATGAATTAGTTTTCCTCAGAAAATCCTTCATAAAGGTATTTCTCCCCTTAGGCAGCTGGCCATGTGGAGCTTTGCCGTAATCTAATAAGTCGAAATAGAAAACCAAAAAGATTTAACTGAATGTATTAGAAACTTTAAAATTGAATTAATTGTATTAAAAGCGAATCATGCATCGCATCGGAAATCAACAGAAAGAAATATAATTTAACCAGATGATCTCTAAAAGATATGGAAATGCAGAAGTTTCCTTTCTAGTGTTTTCCTGGTGATAGGAAGTTTATTTTATTGTGTATATATCTGTAATCAGAAGTTAATATAAAAGTTACTAAATTTTGCTCATTAAAAAGTTTTCCTATCAAAATGTATTTACGTAACTAAATTAAAAATTGTAAATTATCTACGCTTGCTAAGCTTTACGCTTAATTTGAGAACTTTGTACATGTGCTATAAAAATCAAATTTCCTTTCTTGTTTTATTCCTGTCTGAAATCACAAAAAATGCGTTTCTTTTTAGGTGCTGTTACCAACTAGATATTCTTATTAGAAGATAACCTGGGACAAGAAAAGGAAACGTTATATGTGTAAATGAATAAAATAGACTTAAATATATCAAAGTGATATTATAAATAGTATATAAATAGATATATATATATATATATATCAAAGAAGTTTTTGATCATGTTCTTGTTTATTATTTTAGTTCAATAAATTTTTGGAAGAATATATTAGAAACTATTAATCCATCAGAAATTGCATCTTCTTTATATAAAAATTTAATGCTGCGCATTTACAGAAAGAAATTATTGTCTTACATTTAATGTTACGTATATGAAATATTATAATGTTTACATTATGTATGAGAATGATGTCAATGTTAATTGACTATTAGGAACTTGATGTGGTATGCTATACAATAACGGACAGTAAATTATTAACTCTGTTATTAGTAAATATACTTTCCAGAGTAAAGAAATAAGAGACTAATATTGTCAGTTATAAAATTATAAGTTTTAATAAGAGAAAAGGCCCAATAGACTTCTAATCAACAGAGAAAAATATTAATTCTTGTTCTATAAAACTGTATAGTTGGCTTGATTTATTATGATTAATATATTTATTTTAAATGTTATTCTAGACTTTTCATTTTAAAAGTAAAAAATATATTTTCTGTTTGAAATAATTTTCCCAAAGTGAATTTTAGATATATTAAGAAAGCATAAAATGTTAACACAAAATTATTCCAATAAATAACTGAATAATTCTAATAAGCAACTGAATACCTTTATTAAAAACTGACTACTACTTTAACAAAAGTATTGTAAAACATAGCAGATGTAACAGTTATATTAACATATAAGTAATTTGCATTATACCAAAAAATAATAATTATTACTTTTTTAAAAATTTACATAATATTTTGGTTACAAATATGTTTGAAATTAAAAGAAATAGTTTGACTCATTAGGTTATTTTGAAGCATATGACATGAAAAATGTGCAATGTTCTCGCCGGTACACGAACCTGGACCTTTTGAATACGCGCTGAGTGCGCTACCGTTACATACGAAGGGATGCTGGAAGGAGGGAGAAAATACCTTATATACTCCACCTTTTAAAGGGCGAACTGGAGATTAGGGGACCTCAGTCGCCAAATTCTGGTGGTGACGAATTATTGTTCACAATCTTACAGTTCGGGCGCCGCTGTAGACAATAAGGTATTTTGAAGGAGGAGATGTTAAAAGTGAGCAATGCACTCGCGGGGATTCGAACCTGGACCTCTCGAATACCCTCCGAGTGGGCTACCGTTACATCACGAAGACCCGCTGGAATGAGGGAGAAAATACCTTTCAAACTTTACTGCAAGAATTGAGTAATATCCAGAACAGTTTTCAAATATTTTAAAGAATGAAATTAGAGAATTCTAAGAATTTTTTTAAAGAAACTTCCGTATTTAAATAAAAATGAATCCTAAAATAGATTTTAGAAGCATAAAAAGTTTCAAACAATAGAACGTACAAATATGCTTTTGTACATTCTGATAAAAGAAAAATACTCAACCTAATTCAAAGTTTACAAATAAAGATAGTAAGCTGGAGAAAACATATTCACCAGTGATTTACCCGATTCATCATTTCAAGTTAACAATTTAAGTTTAATATTTTTTTTTACATTAGGGTTAAAGTGAATAAACAGACAGTTGTTGATGAAGTACTAACACCATGCAACGAGTATTTTTCTCTTTTAAATAAATGAAAGTATTATTTACTTGACGCTGATTCAGGTAACTAATTTACATAAACTAATTAAAAAGTAATTTTTCCCCTAATAAATCCAAATTTAAATGAATGTGTAAATATTACTAATGCGATTTAAATAAGATTGTTGATAATGATAAATTCCTATTCAAATTAATCTGAAATTATTTGAATTTAAAGCAGATAATTCAACAAGCTGTCATCTTTCCATTAATTTAAGAGGACCTGTTTTTCTTGCCAATGCAAGTGTGTCGAATTTTATTAATTTTAATTTTTGTTAATAAAAATTTTTTGATAAATAATTCCCACCAATGTGTTATCCTAAGGGTTCAATTTATTTTCCCTTTAATGTTGATTTTAATAATTAAAATGAGTTTTCATTTAGCTTAGACTCAATGAGATATTTGTTCACATGAATTAAAAGCAGGATTTGACCTTTATTCTAATTTGAATATGATACAGAATTTTTGGAATCACCTTAATCGGAACTTTAAGTACCATTCCAGGTAAGAATCAGAATCTTCCAAAACCACTTATAAATCATGATAAATGTTCAGCTGTAATCTGTCATCAACAGATCGACATCTATGTTATTTGAGCTTAATGCATTGGAGTTAAAGGATTATCTTATTTTTTGAGCAGAGAGACATAAATCTGAAAAAATGGTGACTGACTAACCATCAATCATACATGATTAAGCATTAGCGACAACGATAGAAGGAGACTTATCGGAGGAAAATCATTTTACCCCTTGTTTTATAAGCAGAGAAAAAAAGTCGAGAAGGTTTTCATTTCAATTAATTATGATGCATAAGGGTTAAATTATAAAATAAAATACCTTTAATTAGAAATTATATTTCACTAAAAAAAGCAGCTGAAAAAATCAACATCATGAGATTTCCATCATGATTGATTCCGGTCAGTTTATTAGTCTGTACCAAGGGTGGTCAAACTTCCTACTGAAAAGAGCTGCATATTAGGATTCAGAAATCTTCAAAAGTTAGGTTTTTCTAAGCATCATAACTAGATGTCTAATATCGGGAAAATATGTAGTGTGCTTCAGAATAAATTAAAAAACTTTCACTGGAGGGAAGATTAAAACAGTAATTTAAAGAACAAAACCAGAGAATTTTCTTTGCTCTCAGTCAAAACAACTATGAAAATATTTTTAATATAAACACTCAGCTTATTAAAATTCCTACATAAAAAATTATAATTTATTTTTTACCTTCAAGTAACTGCTCTCAGTCACATTAACGCCCACCAATGGCCGAGTGGCTAAGAGTAATGAACATCGATAATTCGATCCCAGTTCTAATTCAGGGAACGAGTTGATTACATGAGCGTTTCTAGATATATAACGCTAATATAAACCACTTCTCTCAGAAATTCCTCCATGAAAGCATTTTTCTTGTTAAAAATACACTTCTTAGGCACTCATTTGTCAATTAATAAATTTAATCCGCATTAGTATTAAATATCAATCTTAAGGACGTTTTAGCACATTTCTTGTTAAATGGAAATTGTTTTAAAGGAAAACCTCTCTCCATTGCACACTGTATATGCACTATCGCTAAATATTTGGATTATTTTTATTAAGCTCTGTTATATCCTTTTTATGGGATATAGCATACTCGCTCTTCTCACTACTCTAGAATTTCAAACAAAACATTTAGCCAAGATTTATAGACCGTATTAAGGATTTTGCTTGCTATTTTAAATTTCGTACCTAAATTTCCTATAATTAACTTTCATCTTCTGGATATGATTGAGATGAATCAAGATAAAAGAAAGTAATAAATTAATTAAACTGAGCTTCTCACATATTTTTCACCAAAAACAATTATTAGCACATTGTTATCAAATTTATCTATTGGCTACCTGCACAAATTTCCAAACAAGGAGTTTCAAGAATTTCGGCACAATCTAAGGAATATCTTGTTCAAGAAGAAAATATATTCCGTACATTTTTACAGAATTTTATCGACTTGAATTTTGTAGTATGACTGCAGAATAATACTTTCTTTAAGGAGAAAGGCCGTACAAATTCTTTGAAAATAACTGCAGCTTATTATTACTATTATTTCCTAAAATCAAAGCTAGTCTAGAACTGAATATTGTTTAATGTTAATTGATACAAGTTGGCATGCTTCTTTTACGGCTTTATCCACTTTATTTATGTTAAGCCCTAACTTGTTACTTTCTGTAACACTGGCAGACAAATAAGTTTTCGAAACACCGTAAGAGCTCATAAAACCCAGTAAACATTGGTAAGAAACTTCAAAGTCAAAATCTATTGCTTATTTACTTTAAATCTTCAGTTTCCTGTCAAGTATTGGAAAACAAGCGAAAGTAGAGAGGGAGTGGGAGAAAGAAAGAGTCTTCCCTCCTAATCCAATCCAAATATTTACATCTTATGCTATTCAGAGACCGTGATTCTTCCAAATCCCTAAAAACCTACTTAACGGTAATCCATCAACTAGGCTTTGCACAATGCGCCAAATCAAGTTATATTACCTGCGACAGCAGAGATTACAATCAGCAGGTGAGAGAGGTACAACCAGCAATGTTTACACGCAAAAGGTCAAGTTCTGAGGAGCAATCTCCCATGGCGTGAAGGATAAGCACACCCGGTGAGACACGCTTCCAGAAGTGAAGAAACTCGCAGATGGATATTTTTTAAGAATCTATTGGAGATTGCTAATGGAGAAGGTTCTGATGTTTATTGCATTTGCTAAACACTTTTATTTTTGACTTTTGAACGTCCGCTCGTAGAAGCACAGGTGTAACTTAGGAACACCTTTCTCCATGTTTCCGATTTCTTAAAAGAAATTGTGCTTAATAGTACTCACAATACTTCTGTTTAACATAAGAATAAATGATAAACATTTCACAAATTATACAGGTTTTTAACGGACAGTAAAAAGAGAGCTTGCATATTAAATGTCTTTACATAAATGACCCTGATACGTGAAAATATTGCATAAGACAGTTAAATTGTCTAAATTCTATATCTTAAATAAAACTAAGCATGATATTTATACCACTTAATTGTCTTGTACAAGATCTTCAATGAAGATTTATAAAACTCAATGATTACATAAAAGATATATTTTGTACTCTATAATATTTATAGCGTTTTATTCTTAGTAATCATAACTACCCATTACACAAGAACAACAGAATAAAAGAAATTATTCTTTTGTGAAACAAAACACATTCAGTGTACGAAAGACTTTTGTTACTTTAATTTTGCTGTTTTTTCTTCAGACTACAGATCTTTCTTTCAGAATACCATATTCCTAAATGATAAACTTGCTCTTTCATTGCGCATATAGTTAGCTATATTATGTCTTTCATTGCGCATATAGTTAGCTATATTATGTCTTTCATTGCTCAAACAGTTCGCTATATTATGTATTATAATCTAACCTCCTCATTGTTTTGAAACTCTCTCTTGTGATGTAGCTA